GCTGTCCTGTGTGCCACCCCAGGCTGCTCCAGGTAAGGCGTGAGGGCTTTGGGGTGATGCTGAGGGTACAAAATGACCACCAAAGGATCCCTGAGGGCCTGGGGAGCTGGCACCTGGTGGGCACTGCTCCCTGCCCAGTGCCCAGCCCATTCCATCCATCCCACAGCCCCTGGAGCTCCCACCCTCGGTGTGGATGGGTGGAATCTCCACACCCATCCCCACAGTGTTGGGGATAATCTATTTTCCCAGCTCCAAGCTAAAATGCCATTGGTACTAAAACAACTAAAGTAATTCCAATTTTCCCTCTGGGGCATCAGCAGAGCAGTCAGGAGGGTCCAGGTGAAATTTTATTTGTTTGATGCAAATGTTTTTGTTTAGATTTTATTTAACTTTGTGTTGTTTTATGTTTCTCTCCAGTCCAGGCCTTTTAGCCCTCCCATCCACTCCTCCAGCCCTCCTCCGATAGCACCTTTAGCCCGTGCTGAAAGTACTTCTTCCATTTCTTCCACCAATTCCCTGAGTGCAGCCACCACTCCCACCGTTGGTAAACACACGCAGCACTGCTGTTCTTTCACCTTTCCTAATCCTCCAGTAACTCCTGAGGCCTCTTCATTCCCTAGGTCACTCTTTGGGGTTGGATTCTTAGTTTCCATCAGGGTTTGAAATGCTAAAAGGGATTTGAGGGGGGTGATGCTGCGAGGGAAGTTTTTCCAAATGTTGTGGGAAATGGATGTTTGGTGAAAGTCAAGGGAATTGTAACAGAAAATGTGGTTCTGGGCTGTAATTTGGGGCAAAATAAGCTTTTTTTTGCAGGGGAGGCTTGTGCCTGGAGGATAGTGGGGCTGGAAGCCAGACCTTGGGATCCAGGGATATTAAGTCTCTTGGAACGTCTTTAATTCAAACTTGCCTTTAAAGCAGTAACAGAAAAAGGGTCTTGGAAAAGAAGGTGGCTTTTCCCAGCCACTTGGCATGTCCGAGGGCAGAACCAAACGCTGCAGTTTTCCTGGGAAGAGTGGGGTTTGCCAAACCCCGGGGCTGAGATGAGGGATGGGAACCGAGTCTGGCTGGCAGCTCCCAGCTCCAGGCGCTGGGTCCCCCCACGCCTCCCCCTCCATCCCCTCTGTCCCCTCCTGTCCCCTCTGTCCCCTCCTGTCCCCTCTGTCCCTGCTGCCGGCGCTCCCCCTCCTCTTCCTCCTCCATCCCTGGCTGCCAGCCCCTGCCCCTCGCTTCCTGCGGCTCCATCTCCTCCAGGATCACCTCCCTCCCTTGTCTTTTCTCCCCAACCCTCTGGAAAAGCCGGCCCGGCGGGAGTTCCCGTGCGCCCGGCCCTTTGTCACCGCTGTCCCCGCGGGGAGCGGTGGCACTGCTGTCACCACCCCCGTGACGGCGCTGTCCCCGCCGTGCCGCTGGCACCGAGCCCTCCCCGTGGCTTTGCTGGAGTCTCGACTGCGTCTCCGTCCTGTGTCACCTCACTCTCGGGTGTTGTAGGTGCCTGTTCCGGCTGTTGGTCACTGTCACAGCGCCTGGCTGGAACAAATGTCACCAGGACAGCGAGCCCTGAGCGTCCCCTGTGCCTGTGGCAGTGCCTGGGGGCACGGTGGCCACAGGGACACGGCGTTAGGGGAGGGGACAGCCAGGCTGAGCACAGGGACAGTCCCAGGGGCTGCGGGAGGCTGGGAAGGGCAATGGGAGCGAGCTGAGCTCCGCCATCCCAGCTCCCTCAGGCTCTCCATTTAGATTTCTTATTTTCTCTGATATTTTTGGGATCAAAAGCTGCTGTTTGATGATTTAGTGACCTCCCCGTGCTGAGCAGAGGGGATGAGGTTGCTGGGCTGGGGGAGAAGTTGGGGTCCCACACTAAATATGGAGATTTCCTTGGAGCAGAGCCAAAATCGGGGCTCTGGGGTCACCCCTGGCCAGGGAACTCCAAAGGGGGCAGTCAGGAGGGGCACCCCAGATTTTGTAGGTGTTCCACTTCCAGCTCCATGAAGAGATTATACCAAGTGGGAAGGGACCCACAGGGATCATTGATCCAACTCCTGCCCTGCACAGACACCCAACAATCCCACCCTGGGCATCCCTGGCAGTGCTGTCCAAACACTCCTGGAGCTGCTCTGGCAGCCTCGGGGCTGTGCCCATTCCCTGGGGAGCCTGGGCAGTGCCAGCACCCTCTGGATGAGGAACCTTTTCTGCGGGCATCCAGCCTAAACCTTGGGAAAAGCTGGATGGGGACAGACAGAGACAGACAGGGTTTGGAAAGTGTCTCCTTGTCCCCACCGAGGCCAGGACGGGCACTGGTGCTGGGTGAGCATCCAGGGAAACCCACAGCAGAGGAGGGACACATTCCAGTTCCCATGAGAGGAAAAGCTGGGCTGGGAGGTGTGCAGGGATGGGCAGGTCTGGGATCAGGGACCGCTGCAGGTCCCGGGGGGCTGGGACACCTGGAGCCTGGCTCCAGCGCATTCCCCATCTCCCGTGCCCTGTGGCAAAGTCCCACGGAGTTTGTCCGGGAGCAGGGGCAGGGCTGCTCCATCCCCGTGTCCTCCGTGCTGTTCTGGTGTGCTTTCCTCGTTGGCTGCATGTCAGTCTGGACAATTCCTGGCACAGCAAGGAGCTCTGTGCTTCCCGTGTCGGTGCCCCTCCGTCATCTCTGTCTCTGCGTTGGTACAAGTGCGCTGCTTGGTTTCACTTGGGATCCGTGTTTTCATTCTTTTTGTGCTCTTTCTTTTCCTTTCTTTTCTTTTCTTTCTTTCTTTGTTTCCTTTGCGTTTCTTCTGCTTGTGTTATCAGAGGATGATGCTTTTATTGACAAACTGCCCGCGTTTGAGGGGCGCAGTGAAACGCCGGCAGGTACTGTACTAGCAGGGAATTGCCGAGAATTCCGCCCTCGGAGCGGCACCCACCGCTCGCAGCACCTTGCATGACAGTTTCTCAGTGACTCAAAGGACTCGGAGGTGGAAGGTTGGCACCTCCCGAATTCCAAAAGGTTCATTTAGCAGCTCCAAAAGCTGTTCGCCCCACGCCCCCCTCCGGCCCTCACATCCCGAGTTATGGCAGCGTGGTGGAGCGCAGGGAGCTGGCTGTGACGGGAAGGGAAGGCTCCAGCTAGGATCCGCTGCTCTGTGTGCGTGTGTCCGGTTCTCTGCAAGTGTCGTGTCCTGAGGTGCGAGAGCAAACAGCCACGTGTCACTGTCCCTGAGTGTCACTGCGGGCCGGCGTGCGGAGCAGCATCCGCCGGGAATGCTGAGCAGCGCCGGCCCCGCTCCGCGCAGGCGGAACCCGGAGCGCATGAGCCGACAAACCTCTTCTACCGCGGCCAAAAAAAAAGCGAGAGCACCCCTGCGAACCGCTCGCCCGGCGGGCAGAACGACTCCTCCATCTGGGCTTCCATAGCTTTGCTTCCCGCTTTCTGTCCCCCAGCCGGCGGCCGCTGTCACGCCCCTGTCCCTGCACGTGTGACCGCCCTGCAGCGCCTCGCCCCCTCCCCGTAGCGACATTAATGACCTGCTCTGTGACTCACACTGTGTCCTTCTCTCTCCCTCTCCTTAACCTTTCCCATCCCGCTTCAACTCCTGGCCATACAGAGAATGAACAGCCTTCCCTCGTTTGGTTTGACAGAGGAAAGTTTTATTTGACTTTCGAAGGTAAGTAGTGCAAATCACAGCCGGTAACCTCTCGCTCCCCTCGCTCTCTCGCTCCCGGGGTTCCCTTCCAAGGCTCCATCCAATCCAGCTTTCCGGGCTCCATCCAACCCAGCTGCCCGTGCGGAATGCTATGGCTACTTAGATGACATCGCCAGTCCGACCGGAATCGGTTTGATTTGATTTGGTTTGTGCCATTTGTCCCGCTGATCTCTTTTTATTTTTTGCCTCGTTGATTTCATTTTCAAAAAAAAAAAAAAAAAAATCCGGCCCAAGCAAGCCAAAAAGCCCAAAGAAACATTGCGAATATTCC